TTTTTTCTTCTTCTAATTTTAGGGATATATTATTTTGTTTTGTCCATGTTTGTTTTTGTTTAAATCTAAATTTTTTTGTTTCTATATATTATTCTCTATGTTCTTCCTCAGTGTTGCTACTGGCAGTTGCTGCATGTTCCAGGATGTTGCTGTTTTGACTCAAAATTTGTAATATAAGGTTTTCATATCTTGCTTCTTCTGGTCCTCATTTTTCTATTAGTTTTTGGTGTTTGAGATTAATATTAACACTATTTTCATTCATTGATTTCGATTGGAAAGTTATTTATTGGGTCGATGAAACTTTTGGATTTGAATAGAGACAAGCTTTTGGTCACAAATGATGAAGAATTATGAGGTTTTGGAAATTAGACGTGCTGGAAACATAAAAGGAGACAGAATCATGTTCAATGCTTTATGAAACTTCTATCTACAGTGAAAGGGGGAACTAATTAATCAATTTCTATTGCTTTTAACACTGTTGGTAATTGTTAGACCCTCTGATTTGGGGACCCCTGTTTTGTGTCCCACAGATGCAGGAACAGTTGTAAATTTTCAGACGCTGTGTTCTGGTCTACCAAGGAATCCATGGTTAAAATAAAAATTGTGAAAATAAAAGGACAAATGTAAAAGATACTCAGTAAAAGTTGGCAAGGAGTTTATGTTCTATACTCTATTTATGCCTTTTTTGTTTTTTTTTTCTTATATTAGTCTAACTACTAGTAAAAACACCCTGGAAAACCATAAAAATATTTAATAGATCCAAAAGTTGCTTCATGATGTGAGGATATGTACAAATTATAATTAGTCAATATGCCCAGTGATTAGTATATCAAAACATAGATTATATATAAAAATGGCTATGACCATATATAAGAAGTTTTTATAGTAAATTTCTTTAGTGTTCTATGTAAAAAACTACCTTTTACAAAAGTAAAGAAAAATTATATAAATTTATACAAAAATATTAACTTGTAAGATAAAATATGTTTTTAGTTCCGATGTAACCTTTTTGTATTTATATTTTTAGTATTTCAACTTTAATTTATTCGATTTTAGTCTCTAATTTATTTTTTTATTTGTTTCTAAGTACATGTCGTTTATAAAAAGCCTGTTTTAATATTTTGTTAACCAATATATGTTATCTAAAGGGGTGATATGTGTTTCACGTTTGTGTTGGTGTGGTTGGTGTTGTAAATGCATATGTAGAAAACATGTTTTATGAAAGGGGTTTATTGAAAACGTGTTGATCAATTTTCCTTGCATTGTAGTCAAAGGAGGATGCATTGAAAGCGTGTGGTCAAGAAATGTTGGGGTTTTAAGGGCGAGAAATGTGCAAAGATTGGTGTGAAGTTTAAGATAATTGATGCGATTCAAGAAACAACAATGGAGCTTTTAGTTTTAAATGGCAAGGGAATTACATTTGTTAAGAATAATGGTGTGAGAGTTTTAAAGTAGCACTAGTACAGTTAAAGGAAATGGCACCGGTTATTTTCGCTGATAGGCACCGGTTCCTGAACCGAGGCATATTCAGGCGAGGTAAAAAGTGGTAGACTTTATGCCTCGGTTTTGAAACGAGACAAAAAATGGTACGATTCGGCCTCGGTTATTAGAACCGAAATTGTTCCTCTCCCTCTACTGCCTCGGTTGGAGGTTGAACCGAGGCAGTAGGGTCTTTTTTTTTTTTCCTTCTTCTTTAACCGGTTAACAGCACCTCCAATGAAGTTGATGATGCTCAGATTCAAAACCAGAGCAAACCAGACCAAACAAACGTACAAAGGAAGATCATTCTCAGATTCAATTCAACAAATCAAAACAAAATCTCATATTCAAAAGATCATTCTCAGATTCAATTCAATTCAACAAAATGCAAAACTCTACTGATGCAAAACTCTACTGAAACCAAATGCAAAACCCAAAGTAACTACGGTCAACATCAGAAAAACCCTAATCTGACTACCACCACCACCACTATCACCGCCGCCACCATTGACGCACCACCACCGCTTGCCTTGTCCACCATCCCGCTCCCTTCCTCCGCCACTAGCTCCACCAGCGACTTCACTGCCGTGGACGCAGATCTGGTTGTTCTGCCGTGGACATAGATCTGGTTGTTTTGCCGCAGTCCGTCGACACAGATCTTCACCGTGGGCTGAAGATCCTCTGGCGACAACGCCATGACCGCGTGCTCCTACGTCCACGGATCGCTTCACCGGAGCAACGGAACCAGACCGGGGCACCGCACCAGACTCGCCAATCAGGGCACCGCTGCTCCTGCTTCCGCTTTGTTCTTCGCCAACAGCCTCAGCTTCGCCGTCGCCGATCGCTTCACCGCCACCAACGAAGAATGCAGTTCGTCGACGCAGATCTTCACCGTGGGCTGAAGATCCTCTGGCGAGATCCTCCGGCGAGATACTTCCAGGTTCGTAGGAGAAGCATAGAGATCGGGAGCGCAAACCCATATCTGGTGGTTGCTGTGTTCTGCTTGCAGCCTTAGGAAGAAAGAAAAGTGAAATGGAAGAGACACGGTCGTGCGAGATGAAAGCGTAGGGGGTGGTTTAGGCACCGGTTTCCCAACAAGCTCGTAGGCAGCAAAGAAATCACTGGAGGAAGCGGCGGCGACAACAGGGAGGCACCAGCGGAGAAGAAGAAAGCGCGAGAGAGAAAAGAAGAAACGAGCACGAGGAAGAAAAACAGTGACTTCAGATTTCTGGAATTTGAACCAAGGAAAGAGCTACCCCTTCGGTAACACCGCAAAATCTTGGCACACAATACTACCTCGGGTCTTTGAAAAACCGAAGCAAGAGGGTATAAGCCTCGGGTATAGGGTGAACCGAAGCAGAAGAACCATGTCAGAGAAAAGTCTGATTGCAGATGGATGTGACAGTAGACTTTATAGGTATCGTTTGCCCCATTTAACCGAAGCAGTAAAGATAATATGCATCGGTTGATGTTTAACCGAGGCGTATAAGGTTTTTATATTTACGATAATGCCATCGCGTTCTTATACGCTTCGGTTTCGTAGTAACCGAAGCGTATATGACGCGTCAGAAGACTCTTTTTTTACTAGTGTAGTTTGCTCACGGGAGTGTGGATTTTATTTTTTCTTGTGTTTATTTTTTTGTTGATGAGAGTCACACACAGTTAAGAATTTGGTTGAAAAGCATAATAAGTGAAAGTGTTGATGATAATAGAAATGGGTTCAATAAGCTTATATAATATGAATATTAATTTTATTGGAATATTGAGCATGAATTTTTGGACAAGATAGTAAGATTTTAGTGGTGGTTTGAAAGTATTAGCTAGTTGGAATGAAATTCTTTATTACTTAGAGGGGAGACTCACTTGCAAAGAACTCTCTAAACAAGTCACTAAGAGAGTTTAGAATTTATGAGTATAAGTATGAAATATTGGGCGAGTATTTCTTAGAAAATACTAGTTGCATTTATAAGATCAATATGGGCCATGAGCCTGTCTTATCATTAAAATAATATTTTTCTCGAGTATAATAACATAATAGTTAATAATAATAAAATGATATCTCATTATAAATAGTAACCATAATACTAAACTGTTGAGATTAGTTATGATATGTCGATATTGCCTCCTAGATTTGGGATGCTCCAAAATGAAAAAGCTTAATGGGCCTTTTTAGGGCGTGCTCTTTAGTATTGGACCTGGTAAGAATATAAGCCTCATAGTCTCGGGAGTTTGATTTGGCATATGTTATCGTACTGATCTCTTGGTCGAGCTTTAGCCGACTTGTATAGTTTGTAGGTGGATTGACCTTTCGGTCAAGCTCGAATGTAGATTGGCCATTCGGTCAAACTTTTATCTAGATTTGCCATTTGGTCGAGTTTGCATGTAGATTAGCCATTCGGCTGAGCTCATAGGTAGACTGGCCATTCGGTTAAGCTCGCATGTACGACCATTCGGCCGAGTTCGTAGGTAGACTGAACATTCAACCGAGCTCATAGGTAGACTACCCATTCGGCTGAGCTCGTACGTAGATTGGTTACTTGGCTGAGTTCGTAGGTAGATTGGCCATTTGACCAAGCTCGTAGGTAGATTGGTCATTCGATCGAGTTGTTCAAAAGTAGATATGTGAGAATACTCCTTTTGACTTGTGTTGCTGACTTTAGGTAATCTCTGCTTAGTGTTGTCGAATTTAGGCATGCTTTGTTTTGATGTTGTCGACTTCAAGCAAGCTTTGCTTTGATGCTACTGACTTTAGGCAGTCTTCGCTTTGGCACTACCAACTTCAAGCATATTTCACTTTGATGTTGCTGTCTTCGGCTTTTAACTTTGATGGTGATGTCTTTGGGTTGGCTTCACTTTGATGCTGCTAAATTCTGGCAGGCTTCACTATAATGTTATGTTATCGACTTCACTATAAAGCCTTAGTACTTGTTTTTATACTTGACTTTGTTCTTCATCCTCTTCGCCACCTCAAGTATTCTTCGTGCAATCATTAAAACATTTTTTATGTTATTCCTCACACTATTCTTCGAGTTTTATCCTTGTGTTTCTTGTCTTCTCTTTTGAGACTCTTCCAAGGAAGGAGGATAAGGTGAAGATGACAATCTAGTCGACTTATGTATTGAAGTTGGTCGAGAGCTGTCGAATAAAGACTTGGAGTTGGCATAAAGTTCTAACTGTGTTGTTTAACTGACCTCTAAACTTCAGTAACCAAAGGATGAAAGGACGACCTTGATAATAAAGGTTGAGATGGTTGAGACGAGTATCAAGGCTATTCAAGGGAAGGTGATCGGTCTGAAAAAGGTTTTGCTAACCTTGATGTTGATGTTGGTCACCCTGGATAACGAGATTGTCACCATCAGGTCTGACGGGTTGGTAGCCTATGCTGACTTTATAAGGATAGAAAGCCTTGAAAATATTTCTCCTAATTTGTCAGGTTTTTTCCCGTACTACTCAAGCTTGTCGATTTTCTCTTCTATTGCCCAACTATGTCGAGCTAATCCTTTATTGCTTAAGCTTGTTTAGCTTCCCTGTTTTTAGTACATTCTTCTCTTGTCTTTTTCTCTGCATCCTTTTTTGTATCATGGATTAAAGCTGATTTAGCTCTTTTAGTTAACTAATATACTTAGGTGTTGTCATGTCGAGTTACCTCTGTATTTGGGTACTAGGCTTCCGAGTTACTGTTGTGCTAGATATTGTTATGCAGAACAATTGTTTTGTTTCTATACTCAGATCAAGTAGCTCATATACTAAAATGCCAAGTTGCTCTAGTGCTTGGTTATTAGATTGCTTGTTGTACATAGTTTTATTATAATGCTAGACTTCTTTTTTACTTGGGTACATGTCGAATTTGTCTAATTTTTGCCCGGGTACTTAAATGTTGAGGTTTTTTGGTACTTCGTGCTCTTCTTGTACTTGGATACATGTCGAATTGCTACTCGAGCATTGGAATATCAAGCTTATTTTGTGCATGATCTAGTGCTTTGAGTTGTCTATTTTAGCTCGGTATCTCCTCCATTTTATTGATGCCTTGCATCGTATGAAGGTATTTTAGATTAAAGTTGTTGTCTAAATAGTTTGAGTGCCACATTTATGGAATTTTGTTCCTGTTATAATCTAGTAACTTTGTGCCTCGTTTGAGGGCTTGAGTATCACATTCAAGGTCTTTTTCTCATGTTATAGTCTTGTAATTCGATGTCTCATTCGAGGGCTTGAATGCTACCATCATGGTCTTTTCTTTCATGTTATAATCTAGTAACTCGGTGTCTCATTTGAGGGCTTAAGTGCCAACTTCATGGTCTTTTTTTTCATGTTACAATCTAATAACTCAATGCCTCGTTTAAGGGCTTGAGTGTCACGTTCATGGTCTTTT